GCGCAAGTGTGTGTGGGGGGGGGGTACGTGAAAAGGCGTTTTACTTAAGTTTACCCAAGAAATTCTATGTGTTCGTTTTCTGTTAATCGCCGTGATCAGCAACAGTTGCGTAAACTATGTTATTTTGGATTGTTTAAAATAGGCAGATTTAGCACATGTCCATAAGCACTCACAAACACTTGCTGCTTTGATACACAATATGAAATTTCAAACGCATGCACATACACACACGCACGCACGGATGCACGCAACACCAACAGACAGACACACCTGCAATCTTACATGGATTATATATCTAACGCCATTAAAAATCCAATTAACCAAGATTGATTTTTTTAATATGACTGGTGACTTTTCGGCCTCTGCCTTTTATAAACTTCATCCGTAAGTCATCGATATTTTCTCTTAAATTTACGTTCCGTAAGTTTCGTTAAATACCAGTGATTGGCTAAAGTATGGACAGTAATTGTTTTGTTATTTTCAGACATACCAAATTAGTTTCGAAAGTCGATGGTTTTGAAACGTTTAATCTATACAATCTTGTTTTTTAGAGGGTTGAGTAACGCTGGAGAGGTTGGTCATACTGAATAAATTATAAGGATATCGTAGCGTTTCGTAAGCCTCGGAATCGTGACAGTTATCAACTGGAAATACAAATCTCTGGCAGGACAGTGGTATTCTTAAAGCTGTGTTTTAAAAAAAAATCAGGATTGTTCGGCTGTGCAATAATGGCGCCGTTATGTTGGCGACCCTGCAAACGTTGGCGGTAAAATCCCCGGATTTTTTTTGTGTGTTTTCGATGCGGTTCGGCTAGTTTTTGCGCCCCGCTCTGGACGTGTTCTTATTTGTGTGTTCTATTTTGAAATTAATCCGATTATAATGTAGGTGACTGAGAATCTAAGGAAGCATGTTCAGACAGTAAAGGAAAACTATCTGTTCGAATATAATTACGAATTACCCATATACCGAGGGCGACCTGATTAACGCAACAGCAATAAATCTACACCATTCATATCCTTACCTGACTCACACTACTAGTTTATAATAGTAGAGGCTATCACTATACTAGTGTTTATTCTAACATATCAATCCTTTTTTGTTCTTATATCCCAGTCTTATCTGAAATCCCAAATATACCTTAGCATTCTGAAGGGCTTGCGAAGGTCTGGACCTGACTCGGGCTGCCCCATGTCGTAATGCGGCGATTGCAAGTGCAGGTTTGTACGTTCGTTAGTGAACAGAATTTTTCCTCGGAGATCTTGGTCGGGCATTAGCACCAGTTTTCTTCCGTTCGGTGCCATCGTCGGCGGGAAGCAGTGTTTGGATATTGAGTGTATTTTCTGGATCCCTCTTTTGTGGATTTCATCTGGGAAGGTGTTGTATAAGGAAACTGCCGGGATCCTAACGTCTGATTGATTTAGTGAATTGTTTGCGTCTTCAGTTCTTGATATCGTTTAGAGTAAGTAAATAGCAAACAGCAAATTGTGTTTCTAAGAAATGAAGCTTAAATACCTTTATGTGATCTTTCCAGAACCTGAATGTTCATTTGGTTTATATGTTTAATAAGGAACATAATCGTATTCATTGCCATTGTTACATTTAGACTATACCAAACACCATATTGTAAGTCATCAAAGTCCAATCAGGTTTTATCTGTTTGCTTTCTGAGGTTTTGTCACTGCGTCCTTAGGCTGCATCCTCTCGGCAGTTCGACTGTTTATATGAATAAAACTATGATAAAGGATGTTGTAAAAAAAAGTGAAATCTGAACATCGCTTTCTGGTTTATCCTGGAAGTTACGTTAAATTTTATGTGCTACTTTTTGATCTATTGTGTTATTTTGTGTGGGTTTAAATCTTGTTCCCTGAGGTGAATTTGTCTATTTGTCTAATTAAGCTTCATTTGTCTAATTAAGCTTCATTATACATTATGGCGACGTTGTGAATATTCGTATTCCTTAGCCTGCATATGTCCTTTTCCTAGATCTTTTCCTTCACTTAACTTCGTTCTCTTCCTCAGGTTCAGCGCGATGGACGGTTTCTTCCTGGCTGTCTTCCTGGCAGTGTGCATCTTGGCGGCGGTGATCCTGCGCTGCATCTGCTACCGCTGCTGCCTCCAGTCCTGCTCGCAGAAGGCGCGCCAAAACAACGGCGAGATGATCCTTCCCCGCCACACTACACCCACCATAACGCCCGCGCGCCCGCAGCCGTATTCCCAGGTGGACGGCACCCAGCGGGCAACAGTGCCTCCTCAGTCCCGCGCCGTCTTCACAATATACACTTTCCCTCAGCACGAGTCCCCCGAGGTGGAGAGGACGCCCCCACGCACCCCGGGCCCCCCGAAGTACTCCTCCCTCCCCGCCGACGCCCCGCCCAAGTACGAAGACCTCTTCCCCCAGGCGGACTTCACCTTCCCTTCGAAGACTCCGTCGCCGAGGATAGCTCCTCCCACTCGAAACACCATCGACCTGCAGCCCCTGCGATCCTCCCCGCAGCAGAACACCTTAGTTCCTCTCGCGCCTCCTCCTGTGGCTGTCCCTCCTCCCCCAGTCTCGCACTTCCCTGCCCCCAGAGTGCCTTCCTCTGCTCCCTCTTCTGCCATGCCTCCGTCCTCCCCGCCCTCCAATTCGTCTTCCTCTGATCCCTCAGCCGAAGGAGTCCCTCGAGAGGCGCCGCCAACGTACACAGCAGTACCCCCTTCCAGGGACGGAGAGTGAGAAGGACGGACCAGCGGCCAACGGTGTTCTCAGCTTTCTTCTGGGCATTGAGTGATCCCATTGTTGATCATTACCCCATTTCGTAACTGCCAATGTTCATCAATATTAACGGGAAAAATGTCTTTCTGGCCATGGACCAAAGTGCTTATTGTGAGCAGGAACGTGACGTAACACCGTTCAAAGTACCTCGGCAACGCACGAAGTGAACTGAAAGTGAGGCAGGTTAAGCCACGACCTGCGCAAATGATGACACTGAATCTTCAAGGAGGAATCTCTGGACCTCAGATATGGAATTCCTTTGCGGTAGAGGACGGGAATTTAACTGCTCAAGGGGGGGGGGGGCTCGATTTGCTGTCTGTCGTCATGTTTTCGTTACCAAGATTTAGTAATAAAGAGGACTAATATGTTATTTCTGTTGATCGTGACCACATTGGGATATCAAGTAATTGGCCTTGAGCTACGAAATAGGTCAAGCCTCATTGATTCTCGTGGAATGTCAAACAGAATATTTGTCAGGTCCGCACTCACCAAGACAGCTTACAATACTACTTTTATTTATGATCAGTTATTCCCAAACTCCTTTCTGTCTATCTACTTATCTATTTATCATCCTGTCTCAGTCTTTCTTAGGGGGGAAATCTTTCTGTCTTTAATGCATATATGGACATTGAGACACACACAATACTTACTAACATGAAATCTAAATATTGAAACTTACTTTTCTGTAAAAGAGAACCGGTCATTATGCCAGCTTGTTCAAAAGGCTCCAAGGTGCTAACTTCTTGTCTTTCTGTCGAAGGAAAAGTTAAACACGACTGTCTCCCTAAATGTGAATACAGCAGCATTGTTGTAAGGGAGTTCTTCCAGTGATATACGGCTATGCCCTTCCAGGTATATAGGCATTAGAAAATCGTCCTCCTATTAGGCACTTGATATTGTTGCTTATCTCTGCATACGGTCTGTGTATGTGTACTGACACACACACACACACACACACACACACACACACACACACACACACACACACACACACACACACACACACACACACACACACACACACACACACACACATACACACACACACACATACACACACACACACACACACACACACATACACACACACACACACACACACACACACACACACACACACACACACACACACACACACACACACACACACACACACACACACACTTATATATATGTATATATATGTATGTATATATATACACATATATATAGATAAATATATATATATATAAATATATATATATATATATATATATATATATATATATATATATATATATATATATATATATATATATATATAGACACACATCTACATACACACAGGAGATAGCATTTCAGGGTCTTGCCACATCCATGTTTTATTAGAATATATATTTTAAAAAGATATTTCTACCAACAGTTTCTTTCATTAGAAACTCAATCGGTTTTAAAGGAAAAAGCTTCACGATATACGTATAGATCCTTTGTTCCTGTGACGACGAAGTATTCAGATTTTTTTTTATTAGATTTTTAGTAAAAAAAATATTTGATAACCTTTTTGGCGTTTTTTATGTACTATTTTGATAAATTATTCCCAGTACGTAGCTAGTAATTAATAGAAGAAACCGGACATTAGTATTAGTAACAGTAATGTCACTGTAAATGTTATAACAGAAAATTCCCGTAACGGGGAGTGTCTTCCAGTATGAATGTTACAAATAATGAATCTTGTCATAATTTGTATTACATAATGTAAATAAATGTGTAAATATGTAAAACTCCGTAAGAGATGAATGTGAACTGAACGCCAAACGTGATTTAAAATATTATTTAAAGTATTAGACATCAGACTTTAAATATATATTTTTTTCGTACAACTCAAGGTGCTCTTTTGTACATAACGCGTTTGTATCAGCGATGTATGTTTTTGTAAATATACATGTGAATATATTGTTGTTTGTTTTCATCTCCTAGAATATATTTCTACATTCCCAAATATTATTTTTAAATGTCTAGAAGCTTTATTATTGTCAAGAGCATTATGATAATAATGATAATTATAAACCCTTCATCGTTATTACGATCACCAATGATAATAATAGTGATTCACCCACACAAAAAGTAATAATGATAATGATAATGATAATAATAATGATAATGATAATAATAATAATAATGATAATAATAATAATAATAATAATAATAATAATAATAATAATAATAATAATAATAATAATAGTAATAGTGATAATAATAAAAGTAATAATAATATTAATAATAGTAATAATAAATCAAATCAAATCAAAACTGAGGATAATGATAGTAATACGAATCGAACGAATTTTAATGACAGTGATAACGAAGATCATGGTCATAATGTAGCAGTAATAATCATGATCATAATGATAATGACTGTGAAGATGATGATAATGATAGTTGTAATTAAGATGGCAATAATAGTGATAATAATGATGGTGATGATGATGACAATGATAATGGTAGTGATAAGAGTGAAGACGATGATTATGAAGTTGATGATGATGCCACTACTATAATAAGAATGATTGTAATAATGATACTAGTATTAATGATAATAGTAATCATGAAAATAACGATAATAATAATAATAATAATAATAATAGTAATATTGATAATAATAATAATAATAATCTACTACTACTACTACTGTAGTGACCTGGATTGCAGCCTCCACGTCAAATGACCATCCGGGCGGCATCCGAAGTTTGGCGCCACCGAGATGTTAAAGGATGCCTGGTGCCGTATGCACAGGCAGAAGAAATGCCGAAAACCCCCCTACTTTATGCAATTCTATTTTATTTTCATTTATCTGTGCACGATATAGATACAACATTCCGATCTATAGTATGTCAAATTGTATTTAAAATGTACAGTGCGCATCCCCTGATTCTCATTTAAAGTACCCACAATCCCCACACCCACGTAAATAACCAGCGCTAGTTTCCCACAGGGGATTCTGCAGCCTACCTTTGTTCCGAAAGCGCCGCTCTGGACTGTTGATTTTCGAAAACCGGTTGTTCGTGATTACAAAAACCTCACTGTGAATCTTTTTAGGATTCAAAGTTTAGGCTGGATACTTTGTTGATTTTCATGGGTTTTATTGTAACGTGGACGGTTTTTTTTATTGCTTCGTGTTTTATTATTTCTTTTTAAATAAAGCGTATGTTTTAAATGTATATATTTCATTTTATGCCTTAGGAATATCCATCCTATCCACCATGAATTAAACAGTAATCTAACTTGTACTAAAGTTTTAAATAATGTAGTTAACATAACTATTTGCCCCATTAGATGAGTGATGCTCGCTCGCTTACGTCACGCTTTGTTATAACTACGTACAAGCTGGGCGCCCTTGTTAGTGAGACGCTACACTACTACTACTACTATTGCTACTACTACTACTACTACTACTACTACTACTACTACTACTACTACTACTACTACTATTATTATTACTACTACTACTACTAATAATAATAATAATAATAAAAACAATAATAATAATAATAGTAACATTATTATTATTATCATTATTGTTATTATTATTATTAACAACAGACAGCAGCAAAAATAACATATTATCATTATGTGCAAAGATAATAATAGCAACAACTGATGGTAATGCATTACTTTACTTTAGTTTGTTAACGTTTCTCTCCCAAATCATCAAACTTGGTTGTATGTTTGTGAAAGAGTTGCACTACAGTTACTGTAATAAACCGTTAATAGTAATAAAATTTAACGTGTGCTTCGATTCTTTCCATAAAATGCAAACGTTTTGTTATTTAGACTTATCAAGTTTAAAGGAAAGATGACATAAGGGACATACAACTTTTCCAAAGATTGTAAGATTTACTATTTGTTTTCAGATCTTGAAACTTTCTCCCTTTGCATTTTCTTTTTAACAGCTATCTAAAGTTTTCGTTCAAAATGCATTGAATCCCTGCTTTAAGAAGTGCTTAAATCATGATAACTCTCATACTGACTATTCTGTACCGTATGCGTTGTCCTTATTCAAAGTACTTCTATATGTCTTGAGACTAGGCATCCTTAATAAAAATAAGTCAGCACACCTATTTCGCAAAATGGGACCGCTGCGATCGACCTTGTGCTAAGATCCATAACCTGTCAAGACTGCGTATCTCTTTGATGCGATTATACTCTTACAATCCTCGGTCATTTTCGACCTTGAAAGCAGACGTCTACTGTACACACCTCGCCTCATGGATGTGCAAATCATGTACACACCATGAAAGCCTGTTGATCTATCTGCCGAAAGCGCCTCGGACGATGCCGGCCTTTACTCTCTCGCAGCCGTGAATTTGGCTTGCAATGAAGAATCTATGTTCTTATAATCTGCTATCGGATAAGTAAAAAACAACAGAATCAACAGGCCATTTCATTCGTCGTGTTCATCTGCTCCGTACATATGAGAAGCGACGTCTGTACATGTCTACATGCAGGAACTCATCTGACTGTGGATTGAATTAACATATATTCACACAATTTTCTTTTCTCGTAGAAATATAGACGCGATGCGTTGCAAAGACTATAGGGAGGAGTGAATCTCCGAACATGATGACCATGGTGGTACTGTTTAGGGATTCGATATGCTTAACATTGAAAATTGTCCAGCCAAATTCAAAGGTGATTGAAAATAAGAATATGAGACGTAGTTCTATTCCATCATTTTTTCTTCAAGGCACATCACATATTCTAATGGAGCAGAAAGTCTGAATGAGTGCATCATTTATTAAATGAAATCTTTTCGCATCTAGTTCATTACCTGGCAAAGACATATATTATTTTATTATTATTATTTCAATACCCGGCGGCTTCACCAGTAGTTACGGCCTGAGGTTGGAGAGGATCCAGGGCAGGTGGTAGTGGACGTTCGTGAACAGCGTTTGCGCATTCGAGGCGCCACATGTCCTGGGCCCTTTGCTGGTGATGCCCAAGACGTACCACCGCGTCCTCGAGACATTGTCAATCATAAGAGGACCTCCCGAGTCCCCCTTGCACGTGATTGGGCCCTCGCCGCCCGCACAAAGGGTAGACGAAGGGTCAGGGTACCTCTGCTGGAGGGCGTCACAAAAAGCCGTCCGCATGAGGGGCACCGGAGCCTTCTGCAGCACGGTCGGCAGCTGGGCGTTGAACGGATCTGAGGAAGAGACCAGGAGAGACAATGAGGCAGCAAACATAAATAACAATGGAAACAGTAATTATAGAATCAAACGGAAGCAGCAGTGAGACCCATACAATGATCAACAATTTACAACGTCATCGATCGTTCTGTGACACTAATTCACTGCGAGGATGCTACCTAATAATCAAGAATTACTGTCTTCAGTAATAGCCCTTAAAGACAGGCTGCTCACCTCCCGCGACGGAGCCCCAGCCAGCGATCAGGCCCAAGTCACGAGAGTTCTGAAGGGCGTCAACACTACCACCGAAGTCTTCTTCAGGATCCAGAGGGAGGCAGATCGGGTATATACGGGCTGGAGGAGAAGGATTTTGAAAACAGTTAAGGGGATGGATTAGCATTCGTTTGAATTTGAGTTGTACTGAGAGAGAATACATGAGTACGCACGCAAATACATACACACGCACACACACAAACTCAGAGAGAGAGAGAGAGAGAGAGAGAGAGAGAGAGAGAGAGAGAGAGAGAGAGAGAGAGAGAGAGAGAGAGAGAGAGAGAGACAGAGTAGAGAGAACAACAACCATAAAGCAACTTACGCAGAAGGTTCTCGATCGGGCGACTCAGCCTGACGAGCGCCAAGTCGTGGCAAGCGAGGCAGTCTCTATTGTACTCGGGGTGGACGAGGATCTGCTCCACGCTCACGTCCACCACCGAGTTGCAGAGGCCGAGGTAGCAGTCCGGGTTCGTCGTGAGGTTGAGCTCCCCAAGGCGCACGCCCAGGCTGAGGGGGGCGGGGGACTGGATTTTGTGGCAATGTTATTCTTACATGAATGCATACTTCCATGCTTACACACACACACACACACACACACACACACACACACACACACACACACACACACACACACACACACACACACACACACTCACACACACACATATATATATATATATATTTATTCATTTACATATATATCATCATCATTGAGGATCTAACGCCGGTAGGGGCGCATAGCCGCGTCCACCCTTCGCTTCCACCTGCGAGGGTCTCTCATGGCGAGCCGCCAGGCAGGGGCCCGGCCCATCTCTAGTTCCTCACGACAGGTTTGATCGATCTGCCCAAGCCACGACCTTCTCGGTCGTCCCACAGGCCTCCTCCACCCAGGGTTGTCTCCTGCCCCTGATGGGCAGGATCATCCTGCGGAAATCGAGCCAAGTGGCCATATAGCCTGAGTTGGCGATCACGGATTGTGCAAGTAACAGGTCCTGTGCCGGTCTCACAGTGTAGCTGTTGGTTGGACACATGGTCCTGCCAACTGTACCCCATGATCCGGAGCAAGGATCTGTTACAAAAGGCATCGAGACGAGATTCCAAAGCACAAGATAACGTCCAGGTTTCACTACCATATAGTAAAACTGGCAGTATCAGGGCCTTGAAAACTCGTAGCTTGGTCCATCTGCACAGGTACCGGCATCTCCAAATATTCTTGTCGAGAGATTTCATGACCCCTGCTGCCAGGCCAATCCGTCTACTGACTTCCTGGTCTGACAGCCCAGAGTCATGAACTGCACTACCGAGGTATATAAAACTCCTTGTGACTTCGATGTTTTCACCACAAGCACGTACAGACTGCACAGGGTCTCCTAGTAGGCCCCCAAAATCCTGGATCTTGGTCTTGGTCCAGGAGACCTCTAGCCCCAGGGGCTTCGCTTCATTGCTAAATGCATCAAGAGCCGCCACTAGGCTTTCCAGAGATTCAGAAAGAATAGCAACATCAGTAAAGTCAAGGTCGGTAACCTTGATATTGCCCAGAGTTGCTCCACAGAGACTTTGGACAGTAGCTCTACCCAGTATCCAATCCATGCAAGTGTTGAAAAGTCTTGGTGCAAGAACACAGCCTTGCCTCATGCCTGAACTAACAGGAAAGAAGCTCGACAGGCCCCCCCACACTTTACAGCACTTTCATTGCCTGTATACAGGTTTGCTATTAGCCCAACAATCCTTGTTGGAATTCCTCTCAGTCTCAGGATCTCCCAGAGTGATTCGCGATGCACCGTATCAAACGCCTTCTTGAGGTCGATGTAGGCTGCAAGCAGCCCATGTCCGAACTCACGACGGCGCTCTACAATGACTCGAAGCACCAGGATGCGGTCTATTGTGGACTTATCAGGAGTGAACCCAGATTGCTCAGGTCTTTGGTGCCTCAGGAGGTGGTCTCAGATACGTCTCAGTAAGATGTGGGCGAGTACCTTGCCTGGTACACTGAGCAGTGTAATACCTCAGTGATTTCTGCAGTCCCACCAATCCCCTTTCCCCTTCCAGAGAGGGATGACCACACCCCTCAGCAGGTCAGGGGGAATGGTACCAGTCTGCCAGATGGCAGACAGGACTGCATGCAGGCCCCTTGCCATAGGTTCTCCACCAGCCTTTAACAATTCAGCTGGGATGATACAAACACCTGCTGCTTTACCACTCTTCAGTTTGGAGATCGCCCTCTTGACTTCAGTCAGGGAGGGTGGATCCTCGCTGATGGGTGGGTCTGGCAGAGGAGTCTCAACATTACCAGCATCCAAGTTAACTGTTGGTGGATCAACCTGATACAGCTGCTCAAAATACTCAGCCCAACGCACACGCACCCCATCAGGATCTGAGATTACCTGGCTACTTGCTGAGCGGACTGCCGTCGTCTGTGAGAAGGGCTTGGAGTTCAGCTTTCTCAGAGCTTATACGCTCATCGACTGGAGTGACCTCTACTACCGAGGGTTGAAGTCGGCTGGAGATGGCTATGGCTACTCCCTGGAGATGGTGGCCATCGCTGCGGCCCGACCAGTAGTTAGTGTAGCTACCCACACTAATCGTGCCGCTGCCAGGTCTTCTCACCTCCAAGAGAGCAACCACCTCAACTCTCAGCCGCTTCAATTCCCTCGACAGTAGTGGTAACCGATCATCTGTCGCAGGGAATGGATGTTCCAAACCCCACCCGACAGCCTGCCTGAGGTCTAACCTCTGGCAGTCACTCCAGGTGGGCGCCACCTCTGCCACCCCTACCGACGCCGCCCCATACAGAGGTTGGCTGACCGCAGGCCCCATAATCCGCTTGCAGGGCTCCCGGGGGCTTTCCCCCCACAAGCATCACGCCAGGCTGGCGGCCGCCAGGACCCTGATGGGGTAACAGGTAACTCCCGCCCCCCACCCGAGTCCCAGCGGTCGCCAACCCAGAGGGACCCACAGCCCGCCTTACATATATATACACACACAATTTTCGAAAAGAAAAAAAGACTTACAGAGAAAGATTTGGTATATTGGGGTCTCTGACGCAATGGCCGGCGGTGAGCACGTAACGGGGGTGAATGAGAACCGCCCCGCAGTGCCAGGCTTCTCTGCCTCCCACTCCTGCAAGGGAGGGGAAGGTATAAGGCTAGGGTGTCAGACTCACGGTCCGCTAGTCAAGTGTGGCCCTCGAGATGGTCACAAATGGCCCGCGAAGTGACAAGATGAATTAGTAACTTGTGGAATTATGATCATCGTGAAGGAAGTAATTAGAAGGCCTTTTTTTAATGGCAATAATATCATATATATTGCTACTGCTGACACTATTGTTGTTATAAAGGTGAGGTACCTATGACTAAATCATGAAAATTATTAAGCAGTTTGCAAGTGAAGACGCAGCCATTACACTTTACGCAGAAGAGAAAATACCTGAAAAGTAGTTAGCTGAAAATAAGGTAACAGATGCATGTTGCAAGGTAGTTTTGTTCTGCAGGTATATGATGTCATGACAGTTGGCCTCTTGTCTTTAATAAAAACTTAAAGAAGTAAAATCAGCTGGAGCAGCCAGTGACCAATACGTACGCAATTCTTTACCATTAGTGTCACCATTTAAAATCTAGTAAGTAAAATAAGCTTTTGTGAAAATTGGCCCTTAATGGGTTTTCAGTTTGACGCCCTGGTTTAAGGATGGATAGATGGATGGATAGATGATGGATGGGAGACTGGAGAGAGAGGGCGGAAATAAGGAAGAAAGGAAGGAAAGAAGGCAGGGAAGAATGAAGAGAAAGACAGACATAAAGGAAGAAAGACAGAGATGGAAGTAGAGACGAGAAGATAAAAAGCAATATCACTGAATTTAAGCAGGAGGATATCCATTGAAATTAGACGTAGATAAGCCTTTCTGAATGAAAACCCTAAAAAAAGAGAATGAAAAAAAGAGAACTGATTAATAATAAGAGTGAAAAAAGTAGTAGAGTTTTTAACTATTAGAATACAAAAAAACGTACTTCCAATCAGAATGAAAAAATAGAAATTAAATTAATTAACTATTAAAAAAAAAAGTACTTCGAATCAGAATAAAAAAAATATAAAATTAAATTAATTAACTATTCAAATACAAAAAAGTACTTCCAATCAGAATTAGAAAAAAATAACTAACTATTAAAATGCAAACAAAACGTACTTCCCCGGAGCAGTGCCATCCAAGGAAACTCATTGAGTTGCGCGTCGACTCCTAGGTTGATCTTGTCCGTCAAGGCTCTCACGCCGCATTGATTCAGCTTCGCCTGCAACGGAGGGGAGGTCAGTGG